ACCCTCCACTCCCCCGTCCCCCCAACAGGTGGACACCCACGTGCATGCCTCCTCGGGCATGAACCAGAAGCACCTGCTGCGCTTCATCAAGAAGACGATGAAAGACTGCAAGGACGATGTAGTCTGCCGCAACAGGGAGGGTCAGGGAATGACCTTGGCGCAGGTCAGTGGTGTCAGGCCACGGGAGAAAGGACAGGGTCTGAAGGTCGGATGGCATGGCGGCACATGTGGCACTCTATCTTTCTTTCTTTCTTTCTTTCTTTCTTTCTTTCTTTCTTTTCTTTCTCTTCTTCTCCTCCTCCTTCTCTTCATCCTCCCTCTGGCTTTCTTTTTTTCTGTTTTTTTTTCCTGTCCTCCTCCTCCTCTCAATCCTCCTCCCCAGTCTCTTCCACCCCCCATCCCTCTTCTCGTCCCCTGTTTTCTCTCTCAGTCCTCTCTTCCCCATCCTCTTCTTTCCTTTTCTTCCTGTCCCCCCTCCCCCACCCCCCACTCCTCATCCTCTTACTCCCCATCCTTCATCTTCCTCCAACTCCTCCTCTTCATCCTACCACCCCTTTTCCTCTTCCTCCTCCTCCCCTTTCTTTCCTCCTCTCCCCCCTTCCCCCTCCACCTGCTTCTTATGCTCTCTCCCCCCCTCCTCCCCCATGCCCACCTCCTACTCTACTCCCCCTGGGAGGTAATGGGACAAAATCTGCAGCATGTCAAATGTCGCTAAGTTTACAACTGTCTTAACCCTCTTAGCAGCATAAATAGGTCAGCAGGTCAGCACAACAGAACCAAAATGGCAGCCGGCTGATGGTTTGCTAGAACCGAATTGTGTCACGGAACAATAGAATCAGGCGCTCATCCGTTTTTGGGCATCTGGAGTTATTGGTATCATCTTAAAGCTTGTTCGTTTGACCATCTTTTAATGGAAAAAATGTCTTGAATAAAGGTTGAGAAATTTGCGATTGAGGGAGGTCGGGGTCTCCTGGTTTCAGAGGTAAAATTAGCGAGAAAATGGCTGCCAAAGTTTGTTTTTTTCCAAAGCTTGAGAGTCCTTGGAAAATGAAAATTTACATTTGTTGTTGCCTTTAATCCATGCTTGTCTGTAAAATCCACACAAAAATATATGTTTTTAAATGGACAAAAAAGATGTTGAGCCAAAAACAGAAATTAGAAAGAAAAAAATAATTTTTTTAAAAATCTCAAACTTGAGGAAAAATGCTATCTTCGATGTCATTATTTTGATGAGCGCGTGATTTCACCACAGTGCCTCACTATTATTTCCGTGTTTTTCCATGATTCAGGAGGTGTTGCTATGAAATTGCTTTTGCTTTTAATCTAAATTATGTATTTCTGTAAAATTTCACATACAAAGACCTAGGAAGTCAGAAGCTAAATTTAGTGTGCAATGTTATCTATTATCTATTTGTGGTGGCCGAATTGTGCTATTCAAAAGGCTTTTTAATGGCTGCGTCAATCGACATGCGGTTTTCACCAAAATATTCTTTAAAATATTCTCCAGATCATGACGGACTTGGTTTTTTCAGTTTTGAGACAGTTTTGCTGCAAAAAGTTAAATTTCTTTATTTGGCCGATCGCTTTTGTAAGCCGACGCTTCTATCTCTGTAATTTTAGAAAATCCGGAAGTGATACTTCGCGAGGCGCATTTTGTTTTGAGAGTATAGATCTAGACCTTCTAATTTTTTGCATCTCTCAAGATTTATTGCCCCATTCCAGTAGAGTGTAAATATAGTAGGCCAATGACTTTTAGTTGATATTAAAGCACCGATCATTCCTTTCATGGAAAGGGGGCCCAGCTAGTTATTTCTAAGCCTGCACTAAAGGCGGGTGTGTCGGGCTGGTAAAAGCTGGAATGGCATTACTGCGGGAAAGCCAGTAAACGTTGGTATGGCAACATGACGGGAAGGCAGGTATAGGTTGATATGACTCGTTTTATCATTTAGGTGGGTGGTTGGCGGGTGCTCTGGTGTGGTTTGCTTCTTTTTTCCTATCAAACATCTATCATCCTTATCTCCCCTTCTTCTTTTTTATGTTTGTTACTCTCTTGTGGCGCTCATATGACCTTGTGTGCATCCAGTTGCGAGCGCCGTAAAACCTCTACTTATACTAAAACTTATCATTTAGTTTTGTTTTTATATGAAGAGTAATATTTATTAATAGACTGTCCGGGCGGCCAGATTTGGCTTAGTTTTACTTTACTGTTGAAGAACACGGAACAAACGGAAATTTGTTAAGAGGCAAATTGAGCAGATACGTAGGTTGTGATCACCAGGAAATTAAAAAAAAATTGGGTAAAGATGAGGTGATTAGATCTAGAAAGGACAGTCAGGTCCCATCTCCGTACCTAATTTCCTTTAAAGCAAACCAACGTGAAAAGAAGGTCAGAGTTATACATACTTTTTGTTCACTCTGCACAAAGTAGCAGTGAGTTGAATATTTAAAATTACTACATCTCTTCTTTGTGAAGTTTCACTTTCAAGCTCTTTTGTTCTATATTATTGTGCGTTTTGGGGAGGTATTGGGGACTGATACGTCGTTTATCTCTTCCATTTTTTGTTATGATTGGGCTGAAGTACTTAAAATGTTGATAGGGGTGTTAAACCCATTCACTTCCAGTGGGCTGAAATGTATGTGAGAATGAATGGCTTTATGTTAAATGTCTATTCCTTCTCATGAAAATAAATATTTTTATTACGTTCTCATGATGGGCACGAATTAATAAGTTAGAAATTTTGTCCTCCTCCCCCTCCTCCTCCAACTCCCCCTCCTCCTCCCCTTTCTTCTCCTCTTCTTCCCCTCCTACTCCTACTCCCCCTTTTGTCCTCTTCCTCCTTCTTTCTTCCTTGTAATTTCTTCCTTTTTTTTTTTTCCTAATATCTCGTCCCTGGAGCTCAAGTCTAGTATCCTGTAGGTTCCCCCTCACCCCACGGTGAGACGGGTCATCGGTAAAATACTTTCCCAACTAGCCCACATGCTCTTTGCCTTCTAGGCAGCCACATGTCATTTTTTAGATTAGAAATTCCATCTTTTGTTCATGTCTTTTTTGTTTGTTTATACGAAGATCACTGAAGTGAAAATTGTGTTCTGTATTGTTTGTAAAATAGTGTTCTGTTTTGTTTGTAAAATTGTGTTCTGTTTTGTTTGTAAAATAGTGTTCTGTTTTGTTTGTAAAATAGTGTTCTGTTTTGTTTGTAAAATAGTGTTCTGTTTTGTTTGTAAAATTGTGTTCTGTTTTGTTTGTAAAATAGTGTTCTGTTTTGTTTGTAAAATTGTGTTCTGTTTTGTTTGTAAAATAGTGTTCTGTTTTGTTTGTAAAATAGTGTTCTGTTTTGTTGCAAAAATAGTGGGGGGGTTTTATTGTAAAAAATAGTGTTCTGTTTCAGTGAGTGTTTAAGGTTTTGTTCCCTTTCATCAAGAATCTGGTACAGTTGTAGTTGAGGTGTCCCATCTGAAAATTTGTTAGAAACCAACTGTCCTGCATGACATCCTGGTTTCCTTCAGTGTGGCCCCACAGAGTGGAAACCTTGGGTGTGTGTAGTAGGTCAAGTAAGTTCCGAACGGAGACCTCAACTAGACCTTTACCATGTATCCTTACCTAATTCTTTCATTTTTCTGAAGTGTGAACTACAATATTATAGATTAATTACCTAGAAAAAGACTCCAGAAAGAATTGATGGCCCTTGTTGTGATTTCCTTATTTGGCAAAACCTCTCTTCTGGCCCATGGTACATATCACTGTCGCAAGCAATCCTCCTTAAGTCAAAATTTTGAGAATTTTCTATTTTTACACCCTTCTAAAGCTCTACCAAAGATGCACCTTTCAAGATCACCAAAATGTCAAGGCTGACAATTTTCTTTCTTTTTCGTGATTCCTGATAGGAACAACACAACAAAGACTAGTTTTTGTCATTGACGTAAAAAGTAGCCAAATAGACTAAATTAGATTGCTTTCGGCACAGATGATACTTCCAAGTTGTAGTGACTTTTTTTTGTGTGGCCCAAGAAAGCAAAGAAATTTACTTTTGATTGAAAGAAATGGTTTTTCTTTAAAAAGAAAAAAAAAATTATACACGGTTTAGGGTTCTGGGTGTCTGTTTCTCTGCATTGTTGTTAATGGACCGTTCTATGTTGTCCTCTTCTTCTACTTCTTTCTCTGTGTATATAGTTTCCTAATAGTACAGTATAGCATACACATGGCGAAGTCAGCGGGACGCAGAAATCTGTTCGTTTTGTACAAATGTTGTGACTAGCCACAACATCTCTCCAGCATTGTACTTTTCCTGTTCTCTACCACTGGGTGGTTGGTGGGTGGGCGTGGTAGTTCCTAGTTGTTTCCTGTCAGTTTGTCATTTCTGTCTCATGTCATGATTTTTGCCAGCTCTTCCTATGGATGGCTAGTGGGTGTCCTGGCTTGATCTGTTCCTTGTAATTCTGTTCACTGACACAGTCATTTATTCCGGTCATTGAAATACAGTCGAAACTATACTACTTATTTTTTACCTCTTGAAAGTTTCTGTCTGTCATACTTTTCCCTTGCTCTTAAAGACTATTATCATGTCAATATACTTCCCTACCCTAGAATTACAAAGTTCTATCTGCTCAGTACCTAGTTTCGACAAATTGGATGAAAAAAATTTTGAGTTTAACAATATGTCAAGCTTTTTCGAATGCAGTTCTTTGAATATCTTTATAACGACTCATAATACTTTATGATTTTTATAGAGAAGATAGACTAGCATTTGATTTCTGATCTCATGGTCTTAGTAACTCAAAACGGCCCAAAATGTCAGATGGAGCTTTGTAATTCTGAGTAACGACTTTTCTTCGCTCCTACTTAAACTAATTCCTCTGTGGTAATTATTTTCAATTCTAAAGGCTTGCTCTGCAGAGAGAATTGAATCTTCAAAGACCAATTATTGATATTTTCCCTCTTTCTTTTAATCCCTTTGTTTCAGGTGTTCAAGTCAATGAACCTAACGCCATATGATCTTAGTGTGGATATGCTGGATGTCCATGCGGTAGGTCAAAGCTTAACATCCCTGTTTAACCTTATCCGTATACTTCACATTTTAGAAAATTTCTAGTGCAAAGATCTCCTTGAAACTTTCAGTATTTCTTAAAAAATCATTTTGACAGACTACTATGCAAAGCGTACGGATCGGATTAACGAGTAAATTTCCTCTTTAGAAAGTGGTGGCACAGAGTTCCAAACGTCGTTTGGATACGATAGTAAAACACGACGTACAGATAGGGTTAACTTTATTCTTATTCCTTTATGTAGATCTGCCATCCAGTATGTGAAAAATGTATTTAATACTTACCACCCACCCACCCAGGACGCAGGGCCCAAACCTTTGTTCCCACGTACCAGGACGCAGGTTGAGTACATCAGTTCTGTTCCTGCATCTCAGCAAAAATAGCCCAATCAGTGTGAAATTTTCAGCACATTGATAAAATTGAAAGCGACAATCGCATGTTCACCAAGAAAGGAATAAGAACCCGAATTAAAACTATTAGATCTAGCGCATTCATCACCGTAATCTTTGTCATGTTTCAGTGTAAAGCCACACTCTTCTCGACCTTTTTAAAAAAATCACTCCAATTGTTGTAAACAAACTGACTTTTGCACTCGGCTGATCAAACCATTGAGAAACAAAGTCAAAAACTTAAAAAAAAACAACTCCGCTCACAGATGGAACGAATTAAGCTCACATCATTTTACTGACTAGATGGTGTCATTTGCATAGGATTTGGCTCAGGGCCCAGAAAAAAAAAGAGGGAATCTGGCCCATGTCATTTGTGTCAAGACAAAGAGACTACCCCTACACACACGCACGCATGCACACTCGCACGCATGCACACACGCACACACGCACACACACACACACACACACACACCACACACACACACACACACACACACACACACACACACACACACACACACACGTGCATGTTGTTTGAGCATGTAGAACTTGAGTTTGTGATGTAGTTGTAAGGTGCTTCACTGTTGCACTCAGGAGGCCCGAGTTCAATTTTCATGGAGCTTCTCTGTCTTTCTCCTGGGATGTTGTATCCCTCTCAGTCTAGGTTAGCCCTGCCAGACAATGTCAGAAACCTGCCTTCTGAATGATCTAAATTATGTCAGTGAGTGTAAAAGCTTCTACATTGCTCAAAGAAGAAGAAAAAGGGCAGAAATTAATGTCTTTACATATCTGTGTCATCTTTGTGTCTTTCAGAAAATTAATGTCTTTACATATCTGTGTCATCTTTGTGTCTTTCAGAAAATTAATGTCTTTACATATCTGTGTCATCTTTGTGTCTTTCAGAAAATTAATGTCTTTACATATCTGTGTCATCTTTGTGTCTTTCAGAAAATTAATGTCTTTACATATCTGTGTCATCTTTGTGTCTTTCAGAAAATTAATGTCCTTACATATCTGTGTCATCTTTGTGTCTTTCAGAAGTACTGAGGTGAGAAATACTTTGGCTTCTCTAGTGTGTGTGTAAGAATGTAAATGGAAACAATGCTAGAACAAGCATCATAAATAACTACAGTCACTCCGATGTGCACAAACATTTGTTTATTTTTATTTTAATCAAAAATCAAAATGACCAATGTTGCCTTATCCTTGCAAGGCATCTCCACTTCAACGACCGCCATATTTGGATACATAATATTCTATCAATACATGATAATCAATCAATTTCAAACATATTATAATACTGCACAATAGCAAAGACGACGTTGAACGTTATTATGGTTCCGCCAAAAATATAGTGCACATCGGGTAACAAAAATTAGAGTCGACATGGACGTGTCTGTGTGTGTGGGTTTGTATGTGTGTGTGTGTCTTTTCCACTTTTGTTTCTGTTTGTCTGTCTTATGTGTGTGTGCTTGTGTGTGTCATGTGTATGTCTCTGTATGTATGCGCATGCGCACATTTATCCAATGTTTGTCATTTTGTGTCCTATTATGTTTTACCTATTTTTTGTTTGTACTTTCTGGACAGGATCGGAACACATTTCATCGGTTTGATAAATTCAACGCCAAATACAACCCGATAGGCGAGAGTCGTCTCCGGGAGGTCTTTATGAAAACCGACAACCATATCGGAGGACAATACTTTGCTAAAGTTATCAAGGTCAGAGGAATGCTTATTTGTTAACCCATTAGCATTGTTTGGTTATTCTGTTTGTTAACTCTTTGTGGTCACGTGTCACAATAATGCGGCGGTGAAAATGATCCATTCCGGTGACTTGACACAGTTCTGTGCCAGGCCTGAGAAGTCCTTGCAGTCACTCTCCTGGCTGGGTGACCAATTCGTTATTTTGTATTTCTGGCTGTGTGACTACACAGGGTTAAATGGTGCAGATGATCAGACTAGTAATTTGTTTGTTTTTTCTGTTTGTTTGGTTGTGCAGACTTTCTTATCAAACACCTATCATCCTTATCTACCCTCCTTCTTTTTTATGTTTCTTACTGGCTTGTAACACCTCTAATCTTCTGGCGCTCATATGACCTTATGCAGTTGCGAGCGCCGTAAAACCTCTACTAAAAAGACTCATGAGATATCGACTGCTTTTTGTGTTAGACTCTTCCGTATAACATATATCGCCATTATCTCCCCTCCTTTCCTTGTTCATTACTTAAGAAAAAATATATGTTAAATCTCCAGCACTTATATGACCTATTTGTGGTGCAAATTCTGTAAGACTCTTACTAAGATTATTTTAACACTTGTATGACCTATCTGTGTGTGTTTTGCTCCTTCTTTCCTATCAAACATTTATCGTCCCGATCTCCCTTCCTTCTTTTTTGTGTTTGTTACTCTCTTGTAACACCTCTAATCTTTGGCACTTATATCACTTTATTGTGTTGCAAGTGCTGTAAAACTCTTACTAAAAAACTATTGGTGTTGCAAATGCCGTAAAACTCTTTCTGAAACTTGTGTGACCTGTTTGTTGCAAGCACCATAAAACTCTTACTACTTACCACTTATAGTATGACATACTGTGTTGCAAGTGCTGTAAAACTCTTACTACTTACCACTTATAGTATGACATACTGTGTTGCAAGTGCTGTAAAAATGTTTCTAAAGCTTATATAACCTATTTATTGCAAGTACTGTAAAACTTTTTCTAAAATTTATACGACCTGTTTGTTGCAAATGCCGTAAAACTCTTTCTAAAAATTAAATGGCATACTTTTTAAACGTATGTGATCTATTTGTGTTGCAAGCACAGTAAAACTCTCTCTGAACAAACTAAAAAACCCATAAAGCTAAACTGTCTTTGTCTGTGTCCTGGGCGAGGTCAGGAGGTCATGGAGGACCTTGAGGAGAGCAAGTACCAGAACGCCGAGTTCCGCCTGTCCATCTATGGCCGCTCCATCGACGAGTGGGACAAGCTGGCCAAGTGGGCTATCGCACACCGCATGTACTCGGATAACGTGCGCTGGATGGTGCAGATGCCCAGGCTATAGTCAGTACTTTTGTCTTTCAGTTTATTTGGTATTTCTGGGTAGCTGTTTTTTCTGTTTGTTAGAAGACATAGATGCCCAGACTATCATCAGCAATTTCTTTGGTTTTACTGTTTGGTTTTACTGTTTGGTTTTCCGTTTGTTACAAGGTGCAGATGTCCAGACTCTTTTCAGTTCTTTTGTTTGTTTTTCTGTTTGTTAGATGGTGCAGAGTGGGTGGTTGGCGGGTGTGCTCTGGTGTGGTTTGCTCCTTTGTTCCTGTCAAACATTTATCACCCTTTCTCTCCTCTTTCTTTTCTGTTTTTGTCACTCTCTTGTAATACCTCTAATCTTCGGCATCTATATGACGGTAGTGTGTAGCAACACTTGCATTTATTTCACCATCTCACCCCCCCC